AAATAATATTTATAAAAATAAAATATAATTTGATTTTGTAAAAATTGAAAATATTCCTTTGCAAAATACGCTCAATTCTCAAAATGAATTAAAGTGTAAATATATAGAACAAAGTCATTTAAAAATGAAAAATGAACCTATGGAGTTTATAGCTTCCCTCAATGAGAATAGTACTTATACTGATGATATAAAATCAGTCCCAACTACTAATGTAATTAATACAGAGGATATGAAAGGTAACAATTTTCCTATTAAAGTAAAAAAGGCTTTTGTATTTGAGAAAAACATTTTTACTCAAATTAAGGATAAATCTTATAATTTAGAAACTAAGAATAAAAATTTAAATGATGAAAATAATGATCCTGAAATTAAATGTATATCATCAACTAATCAAAGTAAAATTAAAATTAATAGTTTAGATATTTTAAATAAACAAGTTAAAACATGTAGTCAATGTTCAATGACATTTAGATACAAAAGACATTTAGATCGGCATTTGGAAGGTCATCAAAAAAATAATTGTTTTCATTGCAATGCAAAATTTGCTAGACGCAAACACCTTGAAATACATTTATTTCGCTCACATGGTGAGAGAGTAACAAAATACCCACACTCTTGTGATGTATGTTCTCGTAGTTTTCCTAAACGTATTTTATTAAATCGTCATCGTGCAAAGCATAATTATGAAAATGGCAAAGTTTGTTCGGATTGTGGAGAAATGTTAAAAGCAGAAGAAGATGATAAGCAACATAAAGAAAATCATTGTACAAAACAACAATTTAAATGTAAAAGATGTTTACAAACATTTAGTATTGAACAAACATATCTAACTCATATCCAGAATCATGATAATCATAAATGTTCAAAATGTGATGTCACTTTTGCATCAAAAAAAAAAGTTCATGAACATTACAGAATGGCACATTCTTCAAAATTGAATCATAATAAAATATCAAATAATGGTAAGTTTTTTACATCTACATAGTAATTAAAAGATTATAACAAAATTATTGTTTTACAGGTATTTATTTTTGTGCTGACTGCAGACATACTTTTATAAAAAAGGATGATTATTCACGTCATTTAGATTCTACTTCGCATCTTAATAAAGTAAACAGGGAGGTACCTTTAAGAGACATTTTTACATGCCCAATTTGTTCTAAGAAATTAATTTCACAAAGAGCTCTTGACCAACATGTTAGACGTATACATAAAAGAGAGAAAAGATTTACATGTAATATATATGGTTGCACATTTCAATGTGCAAGAAAATCGGATTTAGATAGGCATAAACAGTTACATGTAGAACAAAGGAACATTATTTGTGAACAATGCGGTAAAACTTTTACTAGTGTTAGTATCCTTAATGATCATGTTCTTTATATACACAATAAAGAAAGACAATTCATATGTGAAGAATGCGGTAAAGCATTTAAACGAAATAGTTTACTGAAAAGACATAAATTATCTCATCAACAATATCGACCATTTGCTTGTATGCAATGTACTACTGCTTTTAAGAGATCTCATCATCTTACTCGTCATATGGAAACTTGTCATAGAATTACACTTGAAAAGAAAAAAAAGGTAAATTTAAATATGTATTTATTCCTAAACAATTTATACCCTGTTAAAAGAACATGTATAATTGTAATATTATGTAACATTCAACAGGTTGTAAAACTCATGAAAACAGAAGATGGTCACCTTGTTCCAATACCAGAAAAACCAAAAAAACTTAAACCCAAAAAATTAAAAATTAAAGGTGCATCTAATACAATCATGACATCAGGTGACAAAACTCCACTTTTTCAAAATATAGACATTATTAATAAACACTTTGATTCAAGTTTGGAAATACAAGCACTGCCTAATTCTGCTAATCTATGTGAAAATCTGACATTGTCATTAGAACTTACAAATTTATTGCCTAATGCAGATTCTACCCCTCAAGTTCTTTCATTAGTAGATATTAATGCAGAACAAATTGTCACTGTAGAAGTTACTAGTCCAAAGATATTAACTATGAATGATCTTATAGATCAATTTGAAGCAAATTGCAATGAAATATTGAATCTAACAAATTATCAAGATTTAGAATTTCAAAATGGTATTTTAAGTATGGATCAAAGTTTGTATGATCATACAAATTATTCAGAATTATCATTTGGCACTGTTGAAGGAACATCACTTTTTGTGGATTCAAACATTAACAAAGTAGATACTTTACCAATAGAAAATTATTTAAATCAACCATTTCCACCATTTTTAAATCTTTAATTAAAATTATAAAATACTCAATGAATTAAATGATTTTTATATTTCTATAATTATTGAAGTAATTGTACATTAAAAATTTTACCATCCAACATTGCTTTAAATATAATTCAAAAGTTTTAATCAATAATCAACAGAAATGTGATATATTTTGTAATACTTAGATTTTGTCAAAATTTATCGTGCATTTAGTAACGTAAAAGGATTACAAACTACCTTTTCTA